GGGGTGACCTCATTGTGGTCTTGCAGTGCCTGACGGGAGCCCACGGGAAAGATGGAGAGAGACTCTTGGCAAGGGCCTGGAGTGACAGGACAAGGAGCAATGGCTTCACACTGACAGTGAAGAAGTTTAGATTGAATATTAGGAAGAAATTCTTCCCTGTGAGGGTGCTGAGGCCCTGGCACAGGTTTCCCAGCTGTGGCTGTGGCATCCCTGTCAGTGTACCAGGCCAGCCTGGATGGGGCTCTGAGCAATCTGGGCTAGTGGAAGGCGCCCCTGTCAATGGCAGGGGTTGGAACTGGCTAATCTTTAAGGTCCCTTCCAACCCAAACCATGCTGTGATTCTGTACTCTGCCAAGTCTCTGCAGAGGGGTTCAGAGCAGCACCATGACATAGCCTGTGTATCCAGATGAGAGTGGCCCCCTGCTCCTTGCCTATCTCAAGCATTAAAACAGGTCTACCTTGGTAATTTGTGCTTCTCATACAGCTCTGGCTGGAAGCAACAGAAATCGTAGGACCAAAGAGCAAAAGGTCTAGAAGCCCTCAGGATTATTTTACTGCTGGTATTTACTATTGATAATGATTTTGTGGCAACCACCTCTAAACTATGCTGGAGATAGCCAGATTTTTCATTAATTAAAATATTTTTTAATCTCTGATGAAGCTGTCTGAGCTCTCACACACTCTACATAACTGAGTTCCTTATTACTGTGCCTGTCATTCATGTCTCTGCAATGCCCTTTTTTCTTGCCAAGTCACTGAATGAAAGACCCAATTCACTTTGGCATTCAGAGCTCCCCTAATACTATTTCAGTGAAGGAGCAATATTGGGGGTTATTTTTCCACTGATTTCTTGCTGAAAGTTAAAGCCCTGAGGCTTTTATGTGTGGTCCCTGCAGAGCTGCCCTCACAGTTGTGCTGACATTCATCAAAGGACACCCATTCCTGGAGTGTAAAAGCACCATGCTACTGATGACATCTCTCCATCTGCCAGCCATGCTGGTGAGCATCTGCAACAGCACCACTGGGAATACTTCAGGAACAGGGAAGGTTTAAAAAAAATAAAATATGTTTCATGGTATTTAAAAAAAAAAAAATCCAGTTTATGTGAACAATGAAATAGTTTGCCCCAAATAAAATTTGTGGAAATTCACTGAAGGTGAATTATTTTTCACCAGGGTAAAAAATACTAGATGGCAAAGTTTTGTGTCTGTAATTCTGAGTCTTATGCATCAATATAAATAGCTCAACAAACATTACTTAAACTACCAGATAGATATAATAAAATATAGTCCCATCTACATGTGACAGATAGAAAGGACTGGTCTAATTTATCACTTTCATTGATTCACACAAATAAATCACTGAACATTTTTAAGGACTGGGGCACCAAAAATATAGAAATTAAACCTGCTGGTTCATGAGCAATTAGAAAACTTCAAGAAAAGGTCTTAATCGGAAGCTCTGAAAAAAAATAATAAAAAAATAAAAAAAAACACAACAAAAACAAAACCAAAAACAAACCCAAAAAGCCCACAAAAATGTGTATAAAGCTGACTATGACTGCCAAGTTCACTATCATTGTAAAGTTTACTACAGTTGTCTCCCTGACCCTGAGTCAGCAAAAAACCCCAATGTGAGACCAAAAGTCGGTTAAAGCCTCTTCTAAACTGGATTGCCCTTCTAATCCCCTGACCCCCAAAATTCAAAACCTTCATCCTAAATCACCTTACCCAAAAATATTTATTTAAATTCTTTCATGTTTTCCATAAATCATAGAAACGCAGTAGCTGTCCAGCAGCATCAGCACGTGATGTGTTTCAGTGAAAAGCTCCCAGCACATGATATGCCTAATTCCTAAAGCTGCTTTGAAAAGCTAATCTTTGGTGCTCTGCCCTTCAGAAAGGTTTGTCATGGATCTGGTGACAGACACAATGCAATGGTATGAGAAATGGTGCTACCCTCTATTTTATTTGGAGTCTGCTAATAATCTGTGCCCACTGCATCCACACCCCAGGTGACCCAGGGTGACCAAGCTGAACCCCATCACAAGGCTTTGGGCTGTTTCGTGGAGGGCCCTGGTCCTGGGGGTCCAGGGTCCTGGTTCTGCATTGGTACCCCCACATGGGACTGAATCACTGCAGCTCTCTGCAGTTTCCCTTGTTGCAGTTGCTGGGATCACTTGGTAACACTGTCACACCCTCCAAATATTTTCCTGTCTCATGGAAAAGGGTAGATGTGACTCCCCTGGGGACACAGGCTGGATATGAGGGGTTCACTCCAGCTGAGTTTTCCCTACCTTCTGTGGGTGAGTGAGTGAGTGAGTGAGTGAGGAGTGAATGAGTGAGTGAGTAGTGAGTGAGTGAGGAGTGAGTGAGTGAGTGAG